AGTTCACGCTTCTGCTCGGGAATCGGAGGGGAGACTCTTACTCAAGGTTGCAACCTAACTTAGCCTTCTTATTTCACCTGTGCATTGTGTAATCACTGCGGCTCTCGTCTTCATTAAAACCTGATGTGTTCTGCTTTCAGATATTCACCACAGCTTCTGGAGAAGGTCCGAGATCAGCAGGCGCAGACGGCAGTGACTTTCAGCGCTGGGAGCGGGTTGCTTCACACTACCTGACCAGGTAGGTAGCAGAGTGTGAAACATAGTAAGCAATGAAGCTGTCAATGTGGGACCCAGGGGAGCTCAGTCTAGACGAACAGCGCAGATATCACCATCTGACATAGTTATATGTGTATAACTGGCTTTCTGCGTGCACAGGAGAAAGCGTGAACATCAGTTTGTCTGCATTACAATGGTCCTTGATGTCAGGGAAAGTTGTTATCATTGGTGGTGAAGAGAGAGGGCTGGAGTCCAGGATTAGAGAAAGAAGGGCGATGTGCGAATACACGGTTCAATCGGTTCATTAACTGTAAAGACTTTGCTGTGTTTGTCAGAGCGGTGTCTGAAGGGAGAAGAGAAAGACAAAAGTGACAAGATAGAAACTTCTCCTTTTGTGTGAGTGTTGTCTTCATAGCCAGTTTAAGAGAAGAACACCTTCTGTGGAAATGCACCGACAGAGAAAGAGAGCACAATACTGCGTTCCAACTCATCCGTATATCGTGTAGATAGATAGAAAGAAAGAAAGCAGGTCAGGAGCTCTGTGGGGTTGAGAGCATCACACACCAACACCATGCAGAAGGAAATGTGTGGGACATCAACAAAGGTGGTGGTGCAAATGTTTGTTGTGCATTTCATGTATGTCAATGTGTCTTATGATGCGTGAGCCTGCAGCTGGTTGGACGTGACAAATGGGATGTGGAGAGAAGTGTTACTGAGGATGTAGAGTGAACTCCTGATAGGTCTGCAGTTAGGAGCGTGAAGGAGGTCGCCATGCCCTCGACAAGGTTTCATTGCAGGAAGTTGATTGTGGGGGAAAGAACATGTAACATGTTTATTGAGAGACTGTAGAGCTGTGTTTGTTTGTGTGGTACTTTTAGGTGTGAACAGTTTCATGCAGAGTTTTGAATTGTACCGTAGTAAAATGTGTTTTTAGTAGCAGGAGTTAGTGATGTGCTGCAGTCAGCGGGGTCTCTGGAGGAGATTACTGCTCTGTGTGTTTTGAGTGATTTGCTTGTGTGTTGTTTCGATGAGTCAGTGGCTTTAGCTTAGCAGTTAGATCATTACAGATAGTTTCTCTCTCTCGGTGCGTCTGGGACCAGCAGGTGACCGGACCGCTCCAGAAGGTGTTGTGTGTTTTTGTAGTAGTTAAGAGTTTGTGCGGGCAGATGTAGATTGTGACATGATGCTGATGTATTAGGGAATTCATTTTTCTGCCTCGATCGTGACGAGTCTCTTGTAGTTTGTTTTCCTGGTGGCAGTGTCCAAGGGGAACACAGATGTCATTTTAGAGGGAAGGAGGGACTAATGGACATTTGTGAGCTGATGTTTGCAAAGTGTTTATTTTGTGTTTGTGTTCTTGCAGGGGAACATGCGGAGAGGAAGGGAGGAGCAAGTTCCGTGTCCAATTAGGAGCGTGAATGAGGCGCACCTGTGAAGGCTCGGGTGCTGAGCCGCGATTGGCCGTTGGCAGGTGGGGAGCAATCAGCCGAGTGGTACATGAGCAGCAGTGCACCGCTGGAGCGTCAGCCCAGCGTCAGCCCACGTGTCGCCCCCGTGTTCAGACCTCCGTGAGTGAAGACCAACGGGAGTAAAGACCTGCGAGTCTACCTGCGCGAGTCCACCGAGCAGGGGACGCCCGGGGACGCCTCTGCCCCTTTTCACGTAAGTTCATTGCTCTCAGCTGTGTCACTGGCTTGGAACACTGAAGAGATGTCATAGTATTTTCAGGCCAAAAAAGTCAAACAAACTGCATATTATATAAAGGCACAAAAATATCTAAAAGTCATAGTATAGTAAGGCATCAAAACCTCCTACATGCTAAAATGACATGTGACAACCCCTCCCCCGGGGCGCTAGGGATCCATGTTTGTCTTTGTTGCTTTCCTTTCAGGTGCTGGATGCAGGGATCAGCCTGACGCACTACACCTGTGCTAACACCTGAGCTACACCTGAGCCCGGTCTTCCCCCTTTAAATCTTGGCTCTCCCACCTCGCTGGCTGTCTTCATTGTTGCTCCCACGCGCCTCACAGACCTGATGGTGGTTGTGGCCTCTCTTTTCTTTTGCTCATTGTATTGCAGTTATTTGTCCACCCACATCTCGTTTTCCATTTCTTAAATAAATCATTTGAAAGTTGTGGCTCCCATTTTGTTGTTGTCGTCCAGCTATTGAGTCAGTGTGTGAAACAGACATAGTAAGGCCTAAAAAGTCATTAAAAGCCACAGTATAATTTGGTTAAAAAAAGAGCATAGTATATTCATCACAACACACTGAGGGAAGACAAACACCTGGAGAAAGATGCCACCTTTAGCTCCAACTGACACTGAAAAGCCTTGAGGAAGATGCCATCTTTACTTCCAACTGATTGATTGGCTCACAGGGTTACACTAGAAACTCAGAGGGTGAGAGTTCAAATCTCATTTCATCTCACTACTTTTTGGGACCGTCACACAGAGGCAAGTCTTAAAAGAAAGACACCCTCGTTGGGTCAGGCTTGGTAAGTCAATGGGTTCAAGCCATCAATGTTCAAGTGCCGAAAGCAACTCCCATTGCCAGTGGGGCTGGTGGCATGGTGGAATTGTTCATGACCACAAGGCAGCAATTTCAAAGACTCTGGTTCAAATCAGCTCATTACCAGTTTTGAGCTAGTGCTGTATTTCTGGACAATCACAAGTAGAGAGCTATGAGACAGAAAATCAGCAGCTGAGTTTTTTATTTATCTATCTATCTATCTATCTATCTATCTATCTATCTTACACAGTGAATCACAAGAGGCTGTTGGGGGCAGGGTGAAGGCTTAAAAGCCCTCAGTTTGGCAAGACTGACATTTCATTTCTGTCTCTGTGTTAATCAGGGTTTGTTACAGGAGGAGAAGCAGCGCCTCATGTCATGTCAGACTATGACAAAGCTGCACTTCACAGTTGGATGGAGCACAGCTTGATATGTTTAGCCTTTTCCTACATTTCCTATCAATGACATCACCAGTTAAGATGTTTCAAAGTCAACACACAAGCTTCAGCATGTGAGGCTAACTCAGCTAGCTTGCTAAATTAGCTAACTGTCAATCATTTGCTTGTTTTTCATTTCAGACTAACTTCTGATTTACTTTGACATGACCTCCAAGTTAATGGACGAGCGACACGAAGGCACTTCATGTTACTTATTTTCATACTTCTTTAGTGAAATTTCATTTAAATCAAGTTACCCAAATGTTTGTAGCGTGTGTTCCCGTCCATGCTACCTCCAAGCCAAGGTGAAAGGTCAGACTGTCAAACAGGAAGTGGGTGAATCCAATTTGATTGGATTTATACAAGGGGGGGGGGGGCCTGGATTGTACTAAGTGGGGTAGAGAACAGAGGGGTGTTTGGCTGCTGCCCCAAACACCCGTTGTAAAGGTTGTATGTTGAAATCTCTTTTAAGATTTAACAGGACTTACAAGTCTTGACAAAGATGCTTCTTTTTCACCTCTGACCCAGCGGCTTACTTTACAGACTTAATACTTTCCAGGACCAACACACAGACGCTCTACAGTGTATAAAACATCCACAAAAGTCATAAATTAGTCAGTCAGGTATAAATGTAAGAAAATGACAGTATTTTTTAATTTAAGGTAAACAAACACAAAAAACTTGTGCTACAGAAAATGGACCAGACTCAGTGAATAGCTCCCTAAGCTTAACATCCTAAGTCCTATGATAAGTATTAATTCAGCTATACAGACTAATGAGCAGCGATAACTAACATGTCTTTGGGGTGTTCTGCTCTACCTACTCCCCCACTCTCCAACAACTCACCTAAAACAAACAAACTCACCTAAACAAACAGTCAAAGACACACTACAGACCAATTCAAACAATGCAAACAGCCAATACAGGCCACCTCACCTGGACTAACCGCATGATCTCAAAGAGGCTCACACAGGCCACACCCCCCACTTAAAAACACTTCCTCTTCCTGGATTTTCTTCCTTGCTTCTCCTAAGAGTCTGTCTATCCTAAGTGCTCCCCCTGCTGGGCCCCCAGCTACCATTACTTCTTCTCATCCAAATCCACTGACTGGATCTTACTGCCTCATCTGACATGTCCTTTACTATTTTCCTCACACTCTGTCCACTTGCTCCTAACTCCCTCACCAAAGAGACAACAGACCTTGCTACAAATCCTCTACATCCTACTTCCACTGGACAAATCCTAACTTTCCATCCTCGCTGCTCTGCTTCTGCCCCTAACTCTACATACCTGAGCTTTTCCCTTTCATATGCTTCTTCAACTAAGGCAACTAAGTTAACTAACTAAGTTAATGGTGCAGTATTTAACTGTTATTTTAAGGAGGTGTTGTCGGGATGGTAAGGTGTTTACACAGGCAGGCGCACACTAAATGAACTTGCACCATGTGATTGAGGCCCTGTGTTTCAGCCTGTTACAGCCCCTAATGTCTCCTGTGACATACTGTTTGTATGTTTGTTGATGACATGTTTTACCTCAACAGGATCCCATCTGGATCCACTTAAGCTGTAGATCTGAAGGATGAGGTGGTTTTGAACTCTCTTCAGCCATTGGACAGCAATACGGGTATCTGTCACCCAAGTGACAGTGGCCAAGTAGTGCTCACTGAGGGCAAGAAAGAAAAGACAGATCTGTCCCCTCATCCTTTAACTGCTGTTCTCACATATCACTAGCACATGACCACAGTGCACTCATTAAGCAGGTATGCTGGGCCGTCTGGGAACATATCAGCAAGGACAATGCTATGTATGAAAATGCAGCTGCAGACTGTCCTGTCAGAAATGCTGACTTACAGTCTTTGTGTCTGCAGCACATTCAGCTGAATAAAACTCCCTTGTTTATGCGACTTAATCACAGTAATTTCCACCACATGTCACTGTTTATCTCTCACTTTCTTGTATAATAGATCCACATAATAGACGCTGTTACGTTACCTTGTGCTGAATGAGGCTGGAACAAGGACCTCGGTGATTTCTGTTGTGTTGTCAGTGTCCACAACAAACAGTTTCACAACAGGGTTGGGCGTACCTGGCTGCATCAGGAAAACAACGTCAAATACACCAGGTAACAACGACCACGCCAACAAGTCTGAACACAACACAATGATCCCAGAACAAGCTCGTTACAGTGAAACAAGCTGTGTGTGTGTGTGTGTGTGTGTGTGTTGATGTCCCACCTTTGGATATGCAATGGAAACAGTTCTGGGGTACTGGTTCTCGCCGTACCAGGTGTACTCTATGTTGTGGACCTCGGTGTCGTTGAACTCAGCATAAGCCACATACTTCCCTCCAGGCGACCACCACAGGCCCTGATTGGTTGAGAACATCTCCTCTGGAAGGGGGAAAGTGTGAAGCTGATTTAGTTCACTTCCTTATGCTAAAATAAAAATAAAAATAAAATGCATGTGCTCATGATTGTGGTCAGTTTTGATGTTTTCACTGCAGCTGAAGAGCTCCATCAGTCCTCTACTGGGCAGATATCCAGCACTTTAACAACAAAAGGTTTTTCACAGTGAATTGTGAAATTCTGGAGAAATGGAGAAACAATGACTTCACAAAAGCATTCCCAAGATTTCTGACCTGGCTCAGACTTTGATTTGACTTTGATTCAACAACACTGATGCAAATGTCTCTGTCCTGTTTCCCTCCTTGTTGATTGTCTGCCCCACCTGTGTTCAATCACCCTCGCCTCCCAGGTGTCCATTTAATGCATATGTTCTGTCTGTTGTTATCTGCTGTTATCTGTAATTGCCCCCCCCCCCCCCCCCCCAGTTCAGCTGGTTCCTTGTTTGTAAGTTGGCACCTTTTTTTTCGTTATTAAAACATTCAAACAGACTCCCCTGTTGGTTGCATCTGGGTCCAAACGCACCACAACCTTCACATCATCAGGGCCGTGAGAGGCTGAGCCAAAAACTGACCTACAGCACAAAGTAGGCCCGTTGTTGCTTTATAATATATATCACTTTAACAATAGATGGTCTCCCTCAGATAAAAGGCTAACACCTGTATTTAGTGTCAATTTGTGCTAAATCATTTCCTGATTAGAAAATGATTCAATTACAAAGACAATATACAGCGGTGTCCAAAATCCTGACACTATTTTCCCAAATTTCATGGTGTAAAAATTACTAATTTTCATCAAACACAAACAAGACTCCACCTTCACCTGCTAGCTGCTAACAAACCCAGCTAAAGCTAAACTAGCCTTTAATCTGTGCGGCTGCTTCCCCTGGTCCACATACACATTACTGGTGGAAATGAGGAGCCTTATAGTTTCATACAGGCCACTCACCCTCATACACCCAGTCTGGGATCCCATTTAAAATCCGGTTGTCCTCTCCATCGAACGTGACCTGCTGTCGTGCGGACCCAGGGCTCGTCTTTATGTACACATTATTCCCCCAAACAAAGGCCTGGAAATGCAAACACACACACACACACACACACACACACACACGTTCAGAAAAGCTTTGTGTGCTGAACCCTCAGAGGCAACATATTTTGAAGCCTTGGGGAAGTGTTTGGAAAAGGTTGTGCTCGATCTCCTCATCTATCACCCGCTTCAAAGCAGAACATGTCACTCAGAGTTATGTGCACACACAAGCTTTATCCACAGCCTCACCAGTTTGTGTCCTTGGGGGGCCCAGGCGAAGTACTGGACTTCATCAGGAATGTCAGAGGGTGTGAAAAATTTGCTGCAAACAAATTGAAGAAATACATCAGGGATGTGCACTTTACTTCTTCAGCTGCAGCCAGCTCCAGAGCATTTTATTTTGAAAGGAACATAATGAAATAGGCAGATAATGTTTAACTGTGCATAAACTTCTTATGAGAGTAAAGACAGAAAATAAAGACATTAAGATTCATAGTTGGGTACTTACGCTAACGTCCGGTCATACAGTGAATATGAAGCTGTAAACGAATGTCTCCACAGCTAACGGGGCACAAACAAAACAAGCCATCACCCAGCAGCTTTAAAACATGCATCAGATTAACGTGAATAAAAAGCTGACGCACCTTGGAGTGGTTGCTCATGAAAGCAACGTATTTGTGGTCTGCAGACAGCTGGTAGTCGTACGCCTGCTTCTCGTTCTGCATTGGAGGAGAAGCACAAACTTTTCACGTTTCATATGGAGTTCTCATGCTGTTGTCATGTGGTTTACAATGTTTACACTGAAGAAACACAGATGTGCATGGGGGGAGGGGGGGGGGCACTTACAAACTTGTCTTTGCTCAAGAACTCCACCGTCTGTCCTGTGAGCACGTCGTGGAGGTAGACGGAGCCTTCAGACTTACGGAGATACTCATGATCTGTAGTGGATGATCAGCAAAAGGAAATGCAGAGCGGTGAGACTGAGAGAGAGAGAGGTGGCTGCTTTGTTGTGACATCACAAAGTTCCAGGAAGTCCTGACGGCTGGTTTTAAGGCTCAGTTTCTGAATACAGGCTGTGTGCATTTCTCTGTGGACTGAGGCTTTGATACTTTCACAGTATTAATATAGAAGCTAGACCTGATCTATAATCACACTACACATGGACACAGACCTTTACACTGGAGGAGCTTTAAGAAATGATCAGATCATTGTGACTGTTTGTGAGTGGTTAACGCCATCATCAGTTTACACATCACAAGGAGAAAACTGAACCTTATCACCGACCTTATCTTGTACATATCGGTTAATTACGTCAACCTTTTCCGTCCCATTGAAAAAATACAACCTGGTGTTCAGTCACTTGCCGCCGCCTCGTCCAACTAATGTTAATCCACAGTGGCGATCCTAGACTCTCGAGGGCCCCAAGCAAAGAAGCCCAGAAACCTTTATATCTGAGTTTGATAAAACTTAAAACAGGAACTGCTGCACCTGAAGCTCTCTGGGACACGAGGGAGACTGATGCCAGTTTCAATATACTGCAATAGATTATTTTGGGAACATCAACAGTGAGTTCAGTAAATGACACACCTGTTATCAAATCTGTGAAAAATAAATAAAGAAAAAAAGTCAAATTGAATATGGATCAAACTCCCTCTGTTAATTTATGCTTATATATTAATTTTTATGCAAATGTGGTGATATATCTTTACATATAACAACCTCAAAGTCCACAGAGGCAGCGCTGTTGTTAAACTGTCTGATAAAATATGGATTTATTATGTATTCAGCTTCACCTTCAGGCACACTGGCAGCAACAAGTAATATATTAGATTATAAAAGTGAGACCTCATTTTTATCTTCCAAAATGAATTATATTCCAAACACTAAAGCCAGCGGTAAATTACCAAAGGGCTTTTAGTAATTATCCATTAACTAATCATCAAATAAAAACCCATAGTGACTTGATCGTGTCTTAAAGCGGCAGGGATTCATTATACATCATGAGTCTAGCGTTACTTAACCACGTCTTTTCTTATCATGATGGTAAACCAGTTAAATATTGTTGCATCAACACATGCATGTACAGGACACTGGAATGAGGGGATTAATCTGAGTCAATCAGTAACCAGAACAAAGCTGAATATTGCAGTTGATAGATAATAAAGCACCTCAGTGACGCATTTACGGTTTAGACACTAGTACACACACACATGGCTGCAATCAAAACAGAGCATTGTGATAATCAAAGGAAAAATTACTCTTGACGTGCCCCATTTGAAAAAATTACAACCTGGTGTTCAGTCACTTGCCGCCGCCTCGTCCAACTAATGTTAATCCACAGTGGCGATCCTAGACTCTCGAGGCCGCCAAGCAAAGAAGCCCAGAAACCTTTATATCTGAGTTTGATAAAACTTAAAACAGGAACTGCTGCACACTGAAGCTCTCTGGGGACGGGGGACTGATGCCAGTTTCAATAAACTGCAATAGATTATTTTGGAACATCAACAGTGAGTTCAGTAAATGACACACCTGTTATCAAATCTGTGAAAAATAAATAAAGAAAAAAAGTCAAATTGAATATGGATCAAACTCCCTCTGTTAATTTATGCTTATATATTAATTTTTATGCAAATGTGGTGATATATCTTTACATATAACAACCTCAAAGTCCACAGAGGCAGCGCTGTTGTTAAACTGTCTGATAAAATATGGATTTATTATGTATTCAGCTTCACCTTCAGGCACACTGGCAGCAACAAGTAATATATTAGATTATAAAAGTGAGACCTCATTTTTATCTTCCAAAATGAATTATATTCCAAACACTAAAGCCAGCGGTAAATTACCAAAGGGTTTAGTAATTATCCATTAACTAATCATCAAATAAAAACCCATAGTGACTTGATCGTGTCTTAAAGCGGCAGGGATTCATTATACATCAATGAGTTCTAGCGTTACTGTA